CCTGAGAGAATCTGAAGTACTGCAGTGGAAGAGATTTTCTCATACTTTATTAACTGTCAAAACCATCATTCCCTGGGAAGAAGCACGTTGGAGGCTGAGCCAAGGATGAGACCAGGGAAAGGTTTCACTTTCTGAGCTTTCACAGTGTGGCTGGGGATGAACCTGCATTTCCCTGGGTGACACAACTGTATCCTTATAAGAGTTGCTGGTAGGATGAACTCATCAGTTCAAATGCTTTTCATTGACATCATTTTTTCAACCATTCTTATTTTTTCTTTCCAAATGTAACAACATTATGGATTTGTAAAGTGTGCAGGGCAGCTATGTTTCATCAGGTACTAGATCAGTGTTCTCTAAAACAGATCTCATATATATGCAAGCAGAGCCACACGTTGGATACAAAGACACACAATGCTTCCCCTGGTCTGTCTAGTAAATGCTATGTAGTATGTTTAGGGGTGGGTGAAGGGTAGTGTGCTTCATTCTCATTTGTGCACACCCTCTGGAGGCTCAGGGGCCTCAGGGGTCATGGACAGGACTCCTGGTGTCTATTCAGTATAATCATTCAAGCCCACTACATGTGTGGATTTAACAACAGGATGTGTTGCATTTTGCTGTTCAATATCTTTGTTTCGCAGTCATCTGGTTTCAAACTTGTAAACTCTGCATTTGATATAGAAAGCTAAATTATGTCATGCAGGACAGTTTAAAAGCCAGAATCTGATGCCTGATGTGTGACAAATCAACTCTTGAATGTTTTTTATGGACACCAAATCCTGAGTAAAATTTTGTATCTAACTTCAGAGCAAGAGACATTGACTTCTGGATATAGTGGTGCATGCCTCTCATCCATGTAGCTCGGGAGGCTGATGCAGGAGAATTGCAAGTTCAAATCCAGCCGTAACAAAAGTGAGGCCCCAACCAACTCATTAAAATTGTGTCTCTAAAGAAATACAAAATAAGGCTGGGATGTGGCTTATGGGTTGAGTGCCCTGGTATAGTACAAGAATAAAATAAATGAATAAATAAATAAACATTGACAACGGACCATGCTATCTATCTGAGGTTATGGAAAAAAACTTTGATGTGATCATAGACTTTAGTCATGAGATAGTTTTATTAATGTGTTGGTTTGGTACAAAAGTGGCCTTTAAGTTCAAACATAGCTTTTGAAAAAAAGATTATTTTAATTTAATCAATACAGAGTGATTGAGGAAGGGGCAAGTGAACCTGGAGAGGTTCACAGGAGGAAAGAGGGCCAAAGTTCCAA